CAAAATTACACCTGACTTCTCAATGGAAACTCTTAAGGCCAGAAGGACCCGGAGAGATGTTCTACAAACACTAAGAGACCATGGATGCCAACCCAGACTACCATACCCAGAAAAGTTTTCAATCACTATAGATGGATAAAACAAGATATTCCAGTACAAAACCAGATTTTCACAATACATATCCAGCCCTACAGAAAGTTCTAGAAGGAAATTTCTAACCAAAGGGAGTTGACTTCACTCACAAACACACAGGCAATAGATAATCCCACTTTACCAGAATCCAAAAGAAGAAGCAGGGCAAATCTACACAAAATACCACCAACAACAACAAATCTAAAACAAACAAAATTTAATAATCAGTGGTCCTTAATATCCCTCAATATTAATAGTCTTAATTCGCCTATAAAAAGACACAGATAAACAGAATGAATATGAAGATACAACCCATCCTTCTGCTAAGTACAAGAAACACATCTAAGCTTCAAATACAGGCATTACCTCAGGATAAAGTATTAGAAAAAGATTTTCCAATCAATTGGACCCAAGAAGCAAGCAGGTGTAGCAACCCTAATATCTAACTAGTTAGAATTCAAACCAAAATCAATCAAAAGAGATGAAGAAGGTCATTTCTTATTCACCACAGGAGAAATTCATCAACACAAAGTTTCAATTCTGAACATTTATGCCCCAAATACAAAGGCACCCACATTTGTAAAAGAAACGCTACTAAAACTCAAATCTCACATAAAACTTACTTATAGTGGGAGACTTCAACACCCCACTCTCACCACTAGACAGGACCATCAGACAGAAAGTTAACAAAGAAACAAAAGAACTAACAGAAGTTATGTCCCAATTGGGTTTAACAGACATCTACAGAACATTCCATCCAAACACTGGAGAATATACCTTCTTCTCAGCTGCACATGAATCCTTCTCTGAAATTGACCACAACATAGCAAACCTCAACAGATTAAAAAAAAATGTAATAGCCCCCTGCATCTTACCAGACCAATCCTATATCCGACAAAGGGCTGATCTCCAAAATACACAAAGAACTCAAGAAACTAGGCAACAAAACACCAAATAACCCTATTTAAAAAATGGGGTACAGAACTGAAGAAAGAATTCTCAATGGAGGAAATCAAAAAGGCTGAAAGTCACTTAAGAAAATGCTCCACATCCTTAGCTATCAGGGAAATGCAAATCAAAACAACTTTGAGATACCATCTTACCCCTGCCAGAATGGCTAAAATTAGAAACACCAGTGATGACTTATGTTGGAGAGGATGTGGAGAAAGGGGAACACTCCTCCACTGCTGGTGGGAGTGCAAACTCATACAGCCATTTTGGAGATCAGTATGGCGGTTCCTCAGGAAAATGGGAATTAGTTTACCACAGGACCCGGCAATCCCCCTTCTTAGGCATATACCCAAATGATCCACATCCATGCAACAAAGGCATCTGTTCAACTATGTTCATAGCAGCACTATTTGTAATAGCAAGAACCTGGAAACAACCCAGATGTCCCACATTGAAGAATGGATTAGAAAATGTGGTACATTTACACAATGGAATACTACTCAGTGGGAAAAAACAATGGAATCTTGAAATTCACAGGCAAATAGATGGAACTAGAAGAAACCATCTTGAGTGAGAGAACCCAGTCACAAAAAGAGGAGCATGGTATGTACTCACTCGTATATATGGATTTTAGACCTAGAGCAAAGGATCACCAGCCTACAATTTACACCGCCAGAGAAGCTAGGATACATGGAAGACCTTAAGAGAGACATACAAGGTCCGCACAGAAGGGGAAAGTGACAAGATCTCCTGAGAATATGGTGGGGTGGGTGGGTGAAGAGGGGGTTAGGAGAAAGAGAAGGGGAGGAGAGGAAGGGAGAGGAGAACCTGAGGGACCAGGAAGATTGAGGTGGGGGAGGAACAGAGGAGAGCAAGAAAAGAGATACCATAATAGAGGGGCCATTATAGGTTTAAAGAGAAATCTGTCACTAGGGAAATGGCCAGACACCTACAATTAACAATCTGAGCAATAGTGGAGAGGCTACCTTAAATGCCCTTCCTTGATAGTGAGATTAATGACTACCTTATATGCCATCATCTAGTAGCTGATGGAAATAGAAGCAGACACCCACAGCTAAACACTGAGCCCAACTCCTGAAACCCAGTTGCAGAGAGGGAGAAGTGATGAGCAAAGGGGTCAAGATCAGGCTGGAGAAACCCACAGAGACAGCTGACCTGAACAAGGAGAGCTCATGGACGCCAGACTGATAGGTGGGAAACCAGCATAGGACTGACTCAGACCCCCTGAACATGGACCTCAGTTAGAAGGCCTAGGCAGTCTAAGGGACCTCTGACGGTGGAACCAGGATGTGTCCCTGGTGCAGGAAAGGATTTTGGGAGCACATTCCCCATGGAGGAATTCTCCCCTAACCTAGAGACCCAGGGGAAGGGCTAGACCCTACTCCAAATGACTTGACAGATTTTGATGACCCCTCCTGGAAGGCATCACACCCTGGGCAGTGGGTGGGGATGGGATGGGAGGTGGGGTGGGGGGCCATAGCAGGAAGGGAGGGAGAGAGAATTGGAGTCCATATGTAAAATAAGAAAATAATAATAATGAAATAAATTTGGTGATTCAGGTCAAGGAAGACATTATGAGAAAGTTAGCAAAATGACTACATGTAAGCTCAGGACACTGATTTACAGAGACTGCTGATAAATGTGGTCCCTAATGCAGTAAATATTACTGGTCAGATATTTACAATTCAGAACACTAACCTGGGCCTCCAGACCAGACAAGCTAAGCCACTTGGGGAAGAAAGCTTTGTAACCTTGAGCGTCCTCTCCCTGTCCCAGTCACTCATTTTTTGTTCTCCTTTTGGAAAACGAGGTTTATCTTCACCCCAGGCCTCTTGGTTCTCCTCTCCGCTTGCTGCTGGGGTGGTCTAGCCTGTGGTCACTTTGTTGCACTTGGTTAGGTTTATGCTTGTGCATTTCCTGTTTTAAGATCACATCAGAGGGTGTCAATGACAAGCCTGTGGTGACTCACAAACCTCAGCTCTGTGCCACGGGCCGTGGTGGCTTTGTATAACACGCCATCCTGACTGTTGACATTCGTGACATAGATGTGTTCCGTCCTAAGAAACCCTGAACAAACTGATTTTCAACTCCTAAGAGCTGATGAACGTCACGGAAACTCAAGGACATGAAGTTGGAAATAACAGAGTCAGCTGTTGGGCCAAGTGTATCATCTTCACAAAACAAAAAACAAAGAACAAAGCACTAGTTTTGACTTACTAAAATAACAGTTTAGTATTTTTAAAAGGCCTTGCTGGTGCCACCTAGTGGTGCTGTGAGTGAACAGCCTTGTGCTGGATCTTTAAGGTCACTGTTTTTTTCCTGTGACCAGGGCTTCAGTGTGTCATTAACGGTGTTTGATAATGTCTGATGTTTGCTAGATGTTTTTCATTCTGGAACAAGGATAATGAGATCCAGGATAACTTTTTTTCTCATGTGTTTATGTGAGCAGTGTGCATGTCTGTTTAGTGGGGATGCATGTGTGGAAAATTGTGTGGAGGCCCCAGACAGATGTGAAGTGTCTTCCTATCACTTTGCACTTTAGCTATTGAGGCAGCATCTCTCAATCATATGTGGAGCTCATTGCTTCAGTTAGGCTCGCTAGCCAGCTTGCCCAGGGATGCCCTGACTTCACTTTCCAAGCTAGAATTAGAGGAGAGTGCCACACCCGCCACACCCGACATTTGCATGGCCTCTCCGGACCCAGGGTTCGGTGCTCACTTGTACAGTAGGTGCTTTGCCCACTGAGCGCCTCAGTGCGGTGATACTATTTCTAATTTCACATGAAAGCTCTCCAAGATTAATCTGGAATTCAACTGGACTGGATTGAGAGTCAACTAAAAAGTCAGCAAAGCATACTTCTGAGGATGTCTTTGAGGTTGCTTCTGGAACAGTTGGCAAAAATATCAAGAGAACTGAATGGGAAGGTCTTCCCTGAGGGCGAGCATCTGTGTGTGATAAGCTGGGGCCTGGAGGCTCAGAGGGGAAGGCAGGGGAACTCACTCTTCTTGCGGGTGGTGGAGAGGCTATGCTTTACTGTAATAGCAAACCTTAGGAATCGGGTGTCCTGAGCTGAGAGAAGTGAAGATTGTTGTAGAGCTCCTGGAGAAAAGGTGAACAGCGCCTTCCACCCACTCCATCATCACTGCTCTCCCAGACAGCATCCAACTACTAACCCACGGCTACCCCTCAGTCTTGTTTTCATAGTGGGAAAACGCTTCAGGAGGAAGGGACCGCGTCCCTTTCATTCGTGAACAGGTTTAGCAGACACTTATTAAATGCTTAGGAACAAGCAAATTTAGGAAAGTGAACGGTGAGCTAGAGCTTTCTTTGACAGCTTGATGGCCTGCGTTCAGTCCCTGGAGCCCACAGTGGAAGGAGAGAATTGGCCCCCAATTCCCTGACCACGACACATGCACGCACACTAAACACACACCTCAGATGATTTCAATAACCCATGCGATCCCAGGTGCCTTTGCCTTTCTCTGGCTGCTCCCTGCCTCCTCTCCATCCGCCCAATTTACTCAAGATGAAGAAAGTGAGGTCCACGTAGATTAAATGGCACAAAGGCACACACAAAACTCAGGCAGAGCACAGGTGCGCATTCATTTCTGCAGCCTATTCCTTTCCAGCCAGCGCCCTCCATAGGCGAGGTTCTGAGGAACACGGATGAAGGCATCCGGGGAAGCCAGCCCCAAAGAAGGCTCATTGGCATCCGGCCATCAAACGCCACAAGACTTTCTATCAACATTCTAGTACTTAAATCTGGAAGGAATAGGGGAGGGGGCAGAGGAGGGCAGAGACCACATTTTGTTAAGAAATTTTGGTAATCTTTTGTTTTAAGAATATCTGAAATTATAGCCAAAGATCAAATACACCTAACAACAATATCTGCTGAAAACATTTTTTTATTAGAAACCACAACATCAACATGGTCTAACACATTGTGCAAATACACACTTCTTTTCTGATTTCCCAGTGTAACAAACTCCATCTCTCAGCACAATAGTTGCGCTCTTGGTAACCATCACGAATCAGCAAGCGCCAAGTGTCAGACACGAAGATCAGCAATGAGGAATTAACAAAGGCAGAGCACCAAGGGGCGGTCTTGGGAGTGTCGCTGTCCAGCTATATCGTGGCTGTCTGGGTTTCTGCAGATCTACTTGTACTTACTAGGACTGCCTTAGTCCCTGTCATGTAAGTCACTAGAAAAGGGTCTATATATCAAAATTGGGTAATTAAAAACAATTAGATAAATAGAGTTGAAACCTAGTTTTATTCTCAAGTAATCAGGCAATTTGAAAAAGCTATGGTATTGCTTAGGTGTTTTATAACCATTTTAATTGTTTTACTCCATGGCCTGTTAAAGACCTGAAATACTTTAATAAAAAGAGAAGTCTGTTTCTCTCTCTACCTTTTATCAGTGTGCACAGTTCTTGGGTAGCGACCCAAATGAAATAAGGTTAATGCAAAGCCACCTACACTGTCCTCATAGGGGCCGTTAGCCCCTTCCTTTAGCGACTTTGATCTTAGCATTTGTATGAAATGGGTTTAAATCTCACAGTGCAAAGACCAAATCATTCCTTTGCAAAGTTGTCTGTATTTTTCAGGTATTTCCCTTTATCTACGTTTATACCATACACTCCCCAAATTTCCATGTTTGTTATATAAATATTTATTTTATGCCTTCTAGGATTTTTTTATAAATAGTTTAATAATTATGTTCACTCTCATCAGCACATGGACTCCATGCTTGCTGTGGAAAATATCGATCTTGTTTCTTCACAGCGCACAAGAGTCAGTCGATCCCTTGGGGTTCTCAATTTCATTACTTTAAAGTTCTTCAATGTGGTTCCAGCCACGAACAGCCACATAGACAATGTGTGCCTGAAGAGAGCTTCCTGAAGCCTGTTCCCAGAACGGAGCTTCCTGGTGACCCCATCCCACCCGCCACAACTGAAATTGGTATCCCAAATGCTCTCCAGGAGTTAAATAACAATTCTTAGCACCACAACAAGGAATTTGTTGGCATGACTCGCACAATGCGATTACTCCAGATACTGTATTCAAACTGTATGGGCCCATTGAAAAAGTAGATATAGCCTAGGAAGAAAGAGGACAAAAGGAAAATCTCAGCCTTTTAAAAATATTAGGGTTTGCAACAGCTAAGATGAAAGACCCCGAGTGTGACAGCCCTTCTCTCCTTATCTACTTGCTCACTGCAGGGCTGGCGACCCACCAGGGAGGGTTTCACATATGCTAGGCAGTCTCTTCATCAAGTTTTATGCTTCTCAATCATTAGTTTTGAGAAAGCTACCCGTTTAATGTTTTGCTTGTAGTTTAAAGGATATGTGACGTTAACAATGAAACAAAGAAAGGCCAGCAATTGGAGGGCGGGGATGGGAGGAGCTGGAGGTAGGAAAGGTAGCAGGAAAAATGATGTCATTATACTTTAAAGTATTTTTAAAATACATAAGTATTCAAAGAGTATATAAAGTGTGCCCTAGAATTAATTGTCTTGCTACGGATTCTAGTTTTGATGTTAGGAACACTGGTATTCGTCAGCTGTTATAAATTAGCTTAATACTTATTGTCATAATTAAACCAAAAATAATTGAATAGAAATGATAGTTAGGAATATTTATAAAGTACTCCATACTCTAGCCCTATTTGTTTTTGACATTACTCTCTGCCTCTTGGCTTCTCCACATATTATTTAAGGCCATAAGTTCAACATCTTTCATCCTCACACTTGGCAGTAATTAAGTAATCTCCTCATTGATTCTAAGCAGGTTGTTTGGTTTGGTCATGCGTATGTAGGCTCATCTGGATTCTGTTTTAAGATCCTTTATATGTGAAACATTTCTGGGGACCCAGAAGCCCTCCTGCAAAATCAGTGCAATGTAACTACTTACCATTTTTCTCATAGACAGCATCTACTTTATCACCGATTCCGGGGAATTCTTCTTCTATGAATCGTGGATAGTCTCTGTCCATAGTCTGGTTAGCATCATCATACCTGATTAATATGAAAAAGAAAGATATATTTATCAAAATATAGGAAAGGATGGCAAGAAAGAGAATCCAGGTGAAAGATTAGAAGGCACAAAATTAGAAGCTAAGAGATGGCTTCTCTGTATGGGAGAATACGGATATTATGGATAGAGGTGTGCACGTGTGTGTGAGATGTGTGTGAGAGAGCATGTGTGAGCATTAGTTCCAGAGTAGCTGGCTGGAGGAGCTGACATGGAACAGCAATGTTGGACCGTAACACATCCAAAATAAAAGGTGACAGGGTGTGGGAGAGGGAGGTAGGCAGGAGGGAATGGATGAACAAAATACAGTGATACACATGGAGTGAGCAAAACCCAGGGCTTTGTATGCTAAGTTAAAAATATAAACATTTCAATCAAAGCACCCTTGGAATTGAAACCAAAGTATGAGAAACATTGGGAGCAGCAGTAGCTACGGGTGTAGACTCTGCCCCATGTCCCTGGTGCGTGCGTGCGTGCGTGCATGCGTGTGTGCTTGCGCTCAAGTGCCTCACCTCCACACCTGGTTCCCGGAGAAGAAGAGGGTCTTGCCCTGGTCCTCAAAGTGCACGGCAGCGCTTATCCTCTTGACCTCCTTTGGAAATCCCAGGTCAGATATTTTTTTGGGATAACCTTCCAGAATGTCATAACCATTGAGAGCCCAGAATTTCCTACCTAGAAAGAGTGAAAGGAGCGTATGTCAGGGCTTATGCATACAAGCATGTACTGAAAAGGAAAACTAAGAAATAGCAAAGTCGGTGTCTGTAATATCAAAGTCACGGAAGCACCCTTACAGCAGAAACAGGAGTCAGGGTTGGAACTTTCTGTTCATTAATACAGCCAGCCAAATATCACAACCAAGTTGTCAATGTATTGCCTCTGAACATTAAGTTTGAAGCTGAATGAAAAATTTATTAAAATTTCTAAATGAACAATCAGTGAATTAGATTCAGTATTCAGGTTTTTTTTTTTAATCAGTTAAAAACAAAGTTACTTTTTTCTCTGGAAAGTAGTCATCAAGTATAAGAGTCAAACTATGGAAATGACATTAGCGGAATGTTATGGAAATAAATTATGGTCATTAAGGCAGGGCAGCATTTTGAACCCCACCCCACCCTCATGCTTATATAGTAGGGCTGGAGAGACGTCTCGTGTGAAAAAGGGAACGTAAGGGCCTGAGCTCAGACTCAGAGCACCCATGTAAGAAGCCAGGCATCTAGCATTCTAACACTTGTAAACAGGAGGATGCTAAGGGCTCGCAGGGCAGGAATAAAGGAAACAGAACATAAAATCATACCCTGCCTCAAGTATGTATAAATATGACAAAGAACTAGAAAAATAGATCAGGAAATAAACAACTAATAGGTGGGAGACCCCTGCTTTTTCACATTTAAAAATGCAGGGTTTCCTTAGCGTGAATTTAAGAGAAACTAGGAAACAGCATGGTGAAGCAAAGACTGGATGATGTGATGCCAGTGCCTGCCTTTCCGTTTCCTTTTGCATTGCTGGGGATCAAACCCTGGTGCTCAGATGTGCGGAGCATGGTCATTTTACATACCAAATTAAGGGCATGTGGTAGAACAGGTACAGGTTCTTTCCGGTTCTCCCGTGTTGTGCTGTGTTAAGGCTAAGGCAGGGCAGCATTTTTTTTTTTTATTGCTTTGCTAGTTGTCATGTTACTAGGTCTCTGGCAATATCAAGTTAATTATCCATTTATGCTGGCCCTTTGGCAAGCCTCCCCGATGGCAGCCTTACCTCTAAAGATGAACATAAGGTCACGGGATGGATGCTCATATGCAGCATCCACATGGTTGGGAAGTTCTGGCCAAAATGATTTTGTCAAAAACAGCTCTGCCTCGACCTGCTGAGGATGCAGGCGCCAGAAGAACCTAATGCAAAAGGGAAGACAGTTTATCACACCAAGTGCAATACTTTCCTCTTGCTAATGACCACTGTAAGGAAACTGCCCATGGCCTACTGTTTCTGTATTGCCCTTGGGAAGTTGACAGAGTACTTTGGCAATTTGCAGGCATAACTTTACCAGAGTTCATCACATGCAGCTTTGACAAAGGAAACTTAAGAGTACCTGTCTTTAAAGATCATGGTTTCTCCCCGGAGGCTGGTTATGGCATCAAGGGATAAGGCCGGGTCACACTTCTCTGGTGTTTTGGGATGTTTAGGGTTGGGGTCTTCATCTCCTGGACCTGCAGGGGCAAAGAAAATGTGTGAGGGCTGGTCCTTCTGGGAAGAGGAGGAAAGGGCTCCTTCCAGGAAGGGCAGCAGTTCCTGAACTCATACTCCAACACCAGAGGCTGCCTTCCTTCCTGCAGGGTGCCACAGGCTAGTAGGGTGCCATCCCTCTCCTCTAAGCCTGGACCTCTTAAGTCTCCCGGACCATAGTTGTACATTTCTTGAAGGTGATGGTAGAAATGCAAGGTGAACCAGCTCTGAGAGCATCTCTGCAGCACAGTCACAGCCTGCTGACCACTGTCAGGAAACACAGCACTCTCTGGCTGGCGCGTCGGACGCATGGATCCCTCAGCTTGGCTTCTTATTCCGTCTGTTTCAGCAGCTGTAGATCTGACTCTGCTTGTCAGTTTGCCACACTACAGCTCATCTAGGTGACAAATGGGCCTTCGAGAAGCTCTGCTGTGACTTGCCACACGTTTGGAACCCCACCCTTATTGTCCCCACACACAAAATTCTGTCAGCATCCCTAGGTCACAGCATGGTAGAATCAAGAATTACAAGCTAAACTTGAAAATCCCTTTGCCACCTTTAAGTCCATGCCTTCAGCCACACAAACTATTGTAGTCTTTTAAAGCCAGAGGTGGCTTGGACAAGTTTTCTGAACCAATTCTCCAAGAGCAGTTGTGCTGATAACTGTGAGCAATGGCTGTCATTCTTTTTATGACACAGAACCCAGAAATAAATGTTTGGGTTGAAGTTTAAATGTTTTGTAAATATTATTGGAAAAGTGGAAGGAAATGAGAGGACATTTTTCACTGTGGATGTTGGCTGAAAACCACCAAAGGCCCCGTGAGAGATTCCTATGGCAGCAAACTGCAATGGCTGAACAAAGGCAGGAATTATAAGAGCTCTCTCTTTATGCCCTCATCTTCACCATCACCTCTGTGCTATACATGCAGTTTTCAAACTTGATAGAATTTAGTGGCTTCCTACGTTAAATGGGGAATAAGTACAAACACAAGGAAGTATGGTCTGAAAAACATTTAAAAAGGAACTGTGGCTCAAACCCAAACAACTATTTTGATTCAGAAAGATGGATTATCTTTTCTCGTGTTTGAAGACATAATAAATGGATTGTTAGTTTCAAAAAGAAACATACATCTATTGTGCTAATGTAACTATATTAATTAGTTTTATAACTGGTATAAAAAGACTTACCGTAGAGGGACTGGATCCCTTGAACATCATCATCGGGAAGCACGAAGTGGCTTTTACCAGTGTAGGTATAGATGGGAAACATCAGGGCTCCTGGGTCCTTGGAGTGGTCCAGACCTAGGGAGTGGCCAAGCTCATGGGCAGCAACAATAAACAAGTTGTAACCTGTAAGAAAACCAAGAAACCATGAGAAAACAACACCCTCCAATGAGGAGGCAATGAAGGAAATCCTAATCTCTCCACCTTTTCCTAGTTCATCATTTTACTCTTTAAAATTAGTCCTCAGTAACCTCAGAGTCAATGTGTGGATTCAAAGTAGCAATCCCTGTGACTGTAGGGACTAGAGCTCCCTGCATGAAGAACCAAATTCTACAGCACTGTCAATAGATTGTTCTCAGGTTAGTAGTCACTAAAGGTGGCCATGGAGACAACAGAAATCCTGATTTTTTTCCCTTTGTTTTCTCTGGCCAGGTTAAGGGGGTGTACAGAAATGACCTGGAATGAGCCATGTGGAAATCACATAAGGTCACACATAGTTCTAGCCTTGGCTTAGAACATCATTCAGAGGGATAACAAACATGTCACTCACTATATTTTCATCTTTCCTGTAATAATTCTTTCCTTCATCTTTTAGAGTGTTATTTTTAATTGTGTGTGTGTGTGTGTGTGTGTGTGTGTGTGTGTGTGTGTGTGTGATATAGGAGTGGGGAAGACTCTGGGCTCAGTCTCTGGCAACACACACACACACACACACACACACACACACACACACACACACGATGCCTAAAGAAAGATGGGAGAGGGAAAGTTTTGTTTGTTCATTAAATTCACTTTGACATCAGAGCCAATATATAAAGAAAATAAACTAACTTGACTATTAGGGAAGGCCACATGGCCACATGATCAATAATTATTGCAATGACTAGTAATGGTTCCCATTTTTGATCTTCATCTGAAAACTTAACCTGGAATTTTTTCCTGTAAATGCTTTCATTCATGTATTTCAACTAAACATTTCGAACCTGTGATTTTCATGTGTCTGAATCCTAGACTTCCTGCAATTATTCCTTAACAGCACTGGATGTTCTTCTCAGTAAGCTGCCCTCCCCAGGAGATACCTAGGGCATGAACATAAGTCATCCCCTTCCCCTCCAGAGACAGTATAAGCATTGGAGAGGAGACATACATTGCTATCAGGCCAGCTTTACTTCCCCTCTCACAGGGGCAGGGATCCTTTTCATTCATTTATTCATTCATTATTTCCTTACTCACTTGCTTAATTTTTTGAGGTAGAATCTCCCTGTAGAGCTCAGCTGGACTCAAATTTACAATCCAGATTCAGTCTCTGAGTGCTAGCATTACATCACTGTGGCTTCCATTTTATTTAAGTAAACAATAAAAACCAACTTCTGTGAAGATTGTTCTTTGTTGCCCTAACTAGGCATCTCTTTTGCTCCAAAATTAAACCCTACTTGGAATAATCTGAGACTTTAATGCTAAGTCAACACACCAATTAATGCGAACTTTTAAAGGTAAGAAGTGGCCAAGAGTGGCAGCCATACTAATCACTGCAGTACAGTTTTAACTCTTCCGTGAATTTAACACTCATTTTCATTTTACTCTCTCTCTCTCTCTCTCTCTCTCTCTCTCTCTCTCTCTCTCTGTGTGTGTGTGTGTGTGTGTGTGTGTGTGTGTGTGTGTGTGTGTGTATTAAACCATACTTCTTTAACAGGCAAAACTGTGACCCAGAGGAAGGATGAGAACCATGCCTATCAGAGAAGACCTTTGACCCCACTTCACAAACTGTATCCTTGAAGCCACAATAACAAGCTTCATAGATTTTATTCAATTTTTTGTATTTAATGATTTGTAAAATGCCTATGGAAGGAACTAATTAGGGCAAAATATACATTTTCATTTTAGAAAATGTAATCAAATGCTAAATGCAATTTGCTTGCATGCTCTCTAATTTTATAGAAGTGTGTCGTGTCTATGTCTGTGTCCAATAACATGTGGACTAAATCTTCATAAGAAAAATTACCTTTGGAACTACTTGTCCAGGTTTCATCATCATCAAAATGGGCATCCCCTCCATAATTTGGTCCAGGAGGAAAGGCATGTGCCAGAAGACCGGAAGGTCCATCAAATGGGTAGAAGTCACCATGTTCTATATACAGAAGCAAGAGTTAGAATCCCTTTATACAAATACATACACACAGAGAGAGAGAGAGAGAGAGAGAGAGAGAGAGAGAGAGAGAGAGGGAGGGAGGGAGAGAGAGAGAGGGAGTGCCTGGCTCAGGCTTGGTGGAGTTTTATCAAATGCTTTGAAAGTGATGAGTAGGAATGAAAAAATGAAACCAAGAAAGAATTAAAATATTAACATGTTACAAATGATTCCACATCCTTACCTTTAGTTCCAAAAGATATCATGATGTCAGCAGTACCATCATGGATTCTGGTGAAATTCAGAGGTGTGACATCAGACCAGACTTTGAAGGCCTTTTTGAAGGCCTTCTCCACTTCAGAATGGGGCATGTCCGGGGTGTAGTTCACAATTCTATTCAATATAGAAAGTGTCTGTTAAACTTTGAAAAGTTAGAACTGTTTTTAAAATATGCTTTCTTTGCATTGAAAGTTCTACTAGGTAGACATATGAGTATTACCAAGTAACTGAGTCCTTGGCATCTTAAATTTAAAATATTCAAATGTAATTTTATTTTCATGCTAAAATTTGGAACTAAACAGGATGGCTGGTGTAGGAGCATCATTACAGATGTGGCTGATGTGACATTTTTAACTTTCTAGAATCCCCTCCTGAATTGTGGTTTCACTTCCAAAAGAAATATTTGGGGACAGCCTGAAGAATAGTGTTTGGGTTAGTATTAAGATAATGTGGTTTATTAAACTAATTTATTTATTCTTCAGGTTTAATATTGATTTATAGACACCTCTTTTATAAACACTAAGTACAACACAAACTTACTTTTAATTTTGTAGAAAACATGACCAAATATTAAATAGAACTTACTTCTGTGCCTTTTAACTTTGTGTTAAGGCCAATCCTGAACTTGACTTCCCATTAAATACTGAAGGCCTGCTCCTGACTCATAGAAGAAAAGACTAAGGCGCCTTGGGAAGATGTAGCCTCTGCTTACCTGTAAGTTAAGTTGGTGTGAGACCATTTGAGAGTTCGAGGGAAAACATTGTATTCACCCACATCGGGGACTCCACATCTTGGTTTCTTCATGATATCTAAGGTGGGGTCGTCAAGTTTGCCAGTCACCTTCAGCCCAAAGAAAGACTGCATCTCTCGAAGCCGATCGACTGTGGAGGTCACTGCAGACTTTTTCAGGATGCCCGCCAGAGTCACAGGGTGATAGAATGACTTCAGATAGTGCTGGAAAAGAAACCAAACAAGCTGTTTTTCCAGAGAAAGGAGATTAGGAAGCACTAGTGGAAGGATTAGCAGAATACTGTACCTCTGCAAACTCCAGGTCTTCCTCAGACAAGTCATCATCGTCATCACCACTGGGAAGGGGCAGGGACCAACAGTGAGTCCAGCTCAACAAGAAGAGAGTGGCCAGGACAGCTGAATGCATGGTGACCAGCAGTGCCCGAAGTCTCGCCTTCCCAGGGCACGCACCTTCTATTTTATAGACTCATAGCGATGAGTCATCACTTGGGGATGTGTGTTAACTTCCTAGTCAGTCAAAGGTAAACATGCTTACATAGTCTTTTTTTTTCTATCCCCCCCACCCCCCTATGTGTGGTTTGTGGCAGAATCTGAAGGAAGTGGAAAATGAGGACAGTGGGGGATATCAAAACCCATCTGGTAAAATAAATGGCCTCAGCATATTTATAGATATAGTGGGAAGAAAGCAGAGGCTAGTGTTTTTTCACTTCACTGGGCAAAAATGTTTTCTTCCTTTCATAGGAAAAACAACTACACTGAGTTTTTCAGGTAGTAAGAATAGCAAATTGAAACATTTATCCCCATGAAGAGAGACAAACTCCTGTTTGTGAAATGTTTATAGGATAGTGAGTTCTCAACTACATTTTTAACAACAATAAGACTCTTTGCTGCATTCCCTTGTGGGTCTCAGAAATGCACCAGAACAAAGCTTGAAGTCTCTGAGGCACTGGAGATGACTTTGAGTCCTAAGCTGGGATTTTAGTATCCTGGCATAACCTTTTGATGGCTGTGGAAACCTGTATGAGTTTCCTACATAGCTAGGCATCTGTACTCAGGCTCTGCTGGAATGCAGCTGCTCTAATGGTTAGGACTAAGAACGATGAATAGAATTAGGGCTATGTTTTGAGGGATTACTCCCAACCAAGTTTAAAAGGCATTATCTCATTTAACCTCTAAAATAACCCAAGTAAATACTGTGAGAATGTGTAGGGTCTTGCACTGTAGCCTAGGAAGCTTAGAACTCATTATTTCAGGAGGCCCCTGAACTCAACCCAACCCACTGTACCACAAATCTCTTGGATTGTTTTATTTAACCTACAGTTCATACTGTAGACAATCCTCTTGCCTCGGCCTCCTAAGAAATGTGATTACAGGTGTGAAGAATCATATTGATCATTACAACATAACCTCTCTCTAGAAGAAATACTTCAATGAAAAACAAAGATAAATGTCACTATTTCTCACCTGTAATGCTTATTCTGAAATAGCTTTCATGTTTTATTGATTTATTATTTTCATTCAAGGGCAATAAAGAGTACAAGGCATAAACACAAAAGAAGTTAGTACCTGTTCTTTGATTTTAAAGAGAAACAAAGAAAAACTCATCTGAAGGTTGAAATAGACAGCCATTCCTTAAGAGAATGCCCAACAGTCGACAGACAGGATATTGTTCTGAAGAAGTGATTGTACACAGCCGACAGGATGTGTCATCACAATGATGTGTTAGCAAACTCTTGTCAACACAAGTCCTTATCTCAGGCTGCTAACTGTGCACATGAAAGCCAGGCCTTCACTCATCACTGCTGCGTTCAAACCACCCACTTGAAATAGGGAGCAGAGTTGGCGTTCAGAATGGTCTCACAAGGACTGCTGAAGTCACTGGGAAATTTGAAAACTCATAGAATGAGAAAACAAAACTGAGTGTACAAAATTAGGACCAAGTACCACCTGCTGATTCAGACAGAGGTGATGTGGGACTTTTTCCAAACATGTCATGAGCAGTACCAAAGTCCAAAATTAGAGAGAAGCAAAAAACAAAATAAAATAAAAGTGCTAGACAGCTTTAGTAAAGAGCAGAATTCCCAATGAGTACAAATAATCATTTGGGTTAAAGCAGCTGTAAGTCAAAGAATTCTTGATAGGAAGGGTTTGGCTCTTATTTAGAATTATGCACTGCCTGTGTTTAAGATGTCAATAAACGCTTTATCTCTAAGGCAACTAAGTGATTTGGCTATACAAATGCATGATTTCCCCCCCTTTGGGAACACGCTATAAAAATGCCTTTGTTCTTGTTTCATTTTCTTTTTCCTATCTATCACCCTGTGGAATGGGATTATAGAATCAGTTGTTTAGTCCCTTGGATTGCTTGTTTGTAGTTGGGACTGGGTCTCATGTGGTCCAGGTTGTCCCTAAACTCACTATGTAGCTGTTGGCCTTCTGATCTTCCTGATCCCACCTCCTGAGTGCTCGGATTAGAGCTTGTGGCACCATAGTGGGGATAGAATTCAGGACTTCCTATATACTAGGCAAGCACTCGCAAAGTGAGCTCCATCCCCACTGCTGATGTACTCTTAAGATAGGAGAACTAAATTTGAACGTAAAATACGTGTTCTTGCCGTAGAATGAGACTCTACCTTGAGCAGAGTCAATCATGGCATGCATGACCTAGCAAAATGGAGGACTAGTGATGCTACAGTTTCCAAGGTTAGCAACTCAGGAGGGCATGCGCTGTAACATCAGAGCCTTGAGTTCCTCACAGGCCCTGCATTAACACTGTTCATTTACAGAACATGTTAAGAGAACCTGTACAAAACAAAGGCAACTCTTCGTTTCTACCGTGACAAACATCTAAAAGGAAAAGGATGCTTTCCCGGGCTCCCCTCACACCACATTTTCATTTCTGTTGTGTCTCAGTAAAGAAAATTTTCCCTGAATGCTGAGCGTGGCCAGAGCCCATGAGAAAGCAACAGAGAAAGGGTGGCCACTCTTGCCCGAATTCAGTTTCACTGAAAAAGGTGAAGTCGAGGTCCTCTTGCAAGTGGCTAGTGGAAATAAAATAAGCTAGAAAAATGAAAACGTGTCTCAGTGGCTTTAGCAACAACCATCTTAGAATAGATTTGAAAACCCCTAGTATTAAATAATGAAGCAAGGTTATATTTTTATAATGACCTAGTCCTACCATATAACCTTAACTCACTAAAACAGAGTTGTTGTGTAAATATAAACAAACAAACAAGCATTTAAAAGGTTAGACGAGCCAGCAAGATGACTCAGTAGCATTTGCCATCCAGGCCTGGTAACCTGAGTTCCATCCTTAAGACCCAGGGAAAAATGAAGGAACTCCACTGAACAAAGTTAACCTCAGACACATGTGCCATAGCACTCATGCACACATCTCTCTCTCTCTCTCTCTCTCTCTCTCTCTCTCTCTCACACACACACACACACACACACACACACACACACACACGATAAACAACAAATTTTAATGTTTCAAGGTATAATGTATAAAAGCATACATTATTATGAATTGCATAATACTTGAGAAACACAGACACTCAGAAGGGAACAAATTATTCTAATATTCTAAGATGAATGACAGACCATGTCATTTATCATTAAAATTCATTATTTCATCTTTGGTGAAAAATATTCCTCCAATTGTTCCACACAATAGAAGCAGAAGGTTCATTACCAAACTCATTTTTAAGAGGCTACAATTACTTGGTACCCAGGCAACACAAAGACACAAATAAGTAAGAAAACTACAAACCAATATCCCTTGTGAACATTGATTCAAAAATACTCAATAAAATACTGACAAATCCAATCCAAGAACACATCAGAGAAATCATCCACCAGGACCAAGTAGGCTTCATCCCAGGGATGCAGGGATGGTTCAATATATGAAAATCTATCAATGTGATCCACCATATAAACAAACTGAAAAAGAAAAACCATATGATTATCTCACTAGATGCTGAAAAAGCCTTTGACAAAATCCAACTCCCTTAGTCTTGGAGAGATCAGAGATAACAGGAACATACCTAAACATAATAAAAGCAATATACAGTAAACCAACAGCCAATATCAAACTGAATGGAGAGAAGCTGAAGGCAATTCCTCTAAAATCAGGAACAAGACAAGGCTGTCCCCTCTCTATATATCTCTTCAATATTGTACTTGAAGTTCTAGCTAAAGCTATAAGACAACAAAAGGAGATCAAAGGGATCCAAATTGGAAAGGAAGAAGTCAATCTTTCACTATTTGCAGATGATATGGTAGTTTACATAACTGACTTGAAAAATCTACCAGGGAACTCCTACAGCTGATAAACACCTTCAGCAAATTAGCAAGATACAAGGTTAACTAAAAAATAAATAAATAAATAAATAAATAAATAAATAAATAAATAAATAAAAAATCAGTAGCCCTACTATATACTGATGATAAAGGGACTGAGAAGTAAATCAACAAATATCACCCTGTACAATAGCCACAAACAACATAAAATACTTTGCGGTAACGCTAACCAAACAAGTGAAAGACCTATATAATAAGAACTTTGTGGCTCTAAAGAAAGAAATTAAAGAAGATATCAGAAAATGGAAAGATCTCCCATGCTCTTGGATAGGTAGGATAAACACAGTAAAAATGGCAATCTTGCCAAAGCAATCTACAGATTCAATGCCCATCAAAATCCCAGCACAATTCTTCACTGACCTTGAAAGGATAATACTCAACTTGATATGGAAAACCAAAAGACCCAGGATAGCCAAAACAACCCTGTACAATAAAAGAACTTTCAGGAAGCATCACCATCCCCCACTTCAAGCTCTACTATAGAGCTATAGTCATGAAAAAAGCTTGGTATTGGCACAAAAATAGGTAGAGCAATGGAATTGAATCAAAAATCATGATATAACCCACACACTTACGAACACCTGATTTTTGACAAAACAGCTGAAATTATACAAAGGAAGGAGGAAAGCATCTTCAACAAATGGTGCTGGTACAACGGATGAGGCTGTGTAGTAGACTGCAGATAGTTCCATGTCTATCCATGCACAAAACTTAAGTCCAAATGGATCAAAGTCCTCAACATAAATCCACCCACACTGAACCTCTTAGAAGAGAAAGTGAGAGGTATCCTTGAACAAATTGGTACAGGAGACCGCTTCCTGAACATAACACCAGTAGCACAGACACTGAGACCAACAATTAATAAATGGGATCTCCTCAAACTGAGAAGCTTCTGTAAGGCAAAGGACATAGTCAACAAGACGAAACGGCAGCCCACAGACTGGGAAAAAATCTTCACCAACCCCACATCTGACAGGAGACTAATCTCCAAAATATACAAAGAACTCAAGGAACTAGTCACCAAAACACCAAATAACCATATTAAAAAGTACAGTAGAGAACTGAATA